GCTGTTACTATCCTTATCATCATTATCATTATCATTGTCATTGTTATTATCATCGGTGATTAACTTTTATTATCATTACCATTCTCTTTAGTGTTACAATTATTTTCATTATTATCAGTCATTATTATCGCATTATCATTATCACTATCTTCACCAGTGTCATTCTTTTCATAACTATCACTATATTTATCATCCAAACCGTGTTATCGTTGCTATTATTATTGTTATTATTAATGTCATTCCATTATCATTCTCAGTATCATAAGTTTTATTATCATTATTACCTTCATTATCATTATCATTATTTTTTGTTATCGGTACTATCATTATCATACGTATTAGTAGTATTATTATCCTCATAACCATGATCATAATCAGTATTATCATTATCATTGCCATCATGATTATTATCATTATTATTATTATTATTATTATTATTATTATTATTATTATTATTATTATCATTATTATTATTATTATTACAATGACCCTTATTAGTGTTAATATCAGTATCGTTGCCATTATCCTTATTTTCAATACTATCATTATTATCAGCCTTGTTATTAGCATTATTGTTATCATTATCAATATTATTACTAACTTTAAAATCATTATTACTCTCATAACTAATACTATTATATTCATAATCATCATTATCATTATCATCACCATTAATATCATTACTATCATAATTCTCACAACCACCATCACCCCCTCCCCCCTCCCCCCCCCTCACCTTCCCGCTGTTATCGTGCCAAATCCTCAAGAACTGCAGGTTCCCCAAGGCCTCGGGAACGGCCATGACGAAGATGTCGACGCCGTTCCTCTTGAAAATGGTCCTCTCGCGGTCTTCGAAGGTCCTGATTTCGGTCTCGGCCTTCTCTCCCGAGACGATGAACTGCACTTTGCTCTTGGTCGCCGCCTCCTCCTTGCCGCCCGTGAATACCATGATTTCGTAAAGGTACTGTAGGTGGGGTGAGTTATTGTTATTATTATTATTATTATTATTATTATTATTATTATTACTATTGTTATCATTATTATTATTACTATTATTATTATTATCACTATTATTATTATTATTATTATTATCATTATCATTATTATTATTATTATTATTATCATTATTATCATTATCACCATTATTACTATTATCATCATTATCACCATTATTACTATTATCATCATTATCGTCATCTTTAGTATTATCATTATTAGTATCATCATTGCCATTTTTATTATTATTGTTATCATTATCACTATGATCATTACCATCATCATTAGTATTATCATTAGCTTTATTAGTATTCATAGTATTAGCAATTATCAATAGTAGCATTGTCATTATCACAGTTATCCTCATCGTCTTTCAACATTACTATTATCACCATCACTTTAATCAGCTTATTATCAACATCACTATCGCAGGCAACACCACATCCCTCTACATCGCTCTTATCAGCTAAACGGGTATATTTTACCCCGAAAAACCAGCAAGAGTAGCAATTCTCTCTCATTGGCCTGACCTTGTCCCTGGGGTCGTTGTCGGGCAGGGGCGTGGCTCCCAGCTTGGTCAGGTCTTCCTTATCCTTGAATCGGCCCCAGATCAGGAGCATTATGTAGACTGCCAGCGTTGCTATCATTGTTATTATGATGGTCGGGTTGTCTGCCGCGTCTGTTGTACATCATTATTATTATTACCTTTATTATATTTTTAATATTATCATTATTACTGTCACTATTAATAGCCTATTGTCATTATTATTATAATTATTATTATAATTATTATTATCATTATTATAATTATCATTATTATTATTATCATTATCATTATCATTATTATTATTATTATTATTATTATTATCATTGTCTTCAATGTTCTTTTTTATTGCTGTTATTTTTTTTCTTGTATACATTCATGAATATATACAAGAGTAAAATATCATGGCGACTGACTGTTTGGAGATGTATGTTGATGCAAGTTGAGGAAATTTGCATGCGTGTACGTATTCGTGTGCATGTGCGTCTGTATATGTACAGCGAACCCTTAACTCACTCATGTTCAGGAGCTTATTAAAGTCAATGGCATTAGGTTGTGGGAAGAATCCTGAAGCGAAGGACGTGAGATGGTTGCAAGAACAGACAGTGTGAGTCACGTTGGCCGTCAACACCTGCAAGGAAAAGATTAAATAGAGAGAAAGAGTTGTAAGAAGGACAGAGGGAGGGAGAGGGAGGAGAGGGAGAGGGAGAGGGAGGTGAGGGAGAGGGAGAGGGAGAGGGAGAAGGAGAAGGAGAGAAGAAGGAGAAGGAGAGGAGAGAGGGAGGGAGAGAGAGAGAGAGAAAGAGAGAGAAAGAGAGAGAAGAGAGAGAGAAGAGAGAGAAGAGAGAGAGAGAGAGAGAGAGAGAGAGAGAGAGAGAGAGAGAGAGAGAGAGAGAGAGAGAGAGAGAGAGAGAGAGAGAGAGAGAGAGAGAGAGAGAGTAAACAATACAAATGCAGCGACAGAGACACTGGAACCTCATACGTGGAAAAAGAGAAACAGAAAAGAACCAAAAATAAAGGAAATAACAAAACCAAACTTCAGAAATCCTCGCCGCCACGCACCCGGCACCCGTTCCTGTCCCAAGACATGGTGTCCTCCTTGAAGAAAAGACAAGACGAAGTGTACATCCTGACGGTGTAGTTCGTGCTCCACACCTTCGTGATGTTGGCCTGAGTGAGGTTGAAGGCCTCGCTGTCGGCCCAGAAGCCCTGTTGGGAGGGGCGAATGATCACTTAATGTTTAATGTTATAATTTTTTTCCCATTTATGATAGTAGTATCATTATTATCATCACTATCATTATAGTTATTATCATCATCATCCCCATCATCACTATTATTATCATTATCATTACAATTATCTGTAGTACTAGTATCTTTACCACATTGCCCTCACAATCATCATTATCATATCCATATCATCAGCATTATTACCATCAACATCAAAATCATTTTTCGACAATCAGTACACTCTATTTCACAAAATGTACCTCCTCATCCGTGTGGTTAGCGAATTCGGAGAGACAGACGTAATATAAACCGGTCTGGTTGGTCACGAATTCATCTTCAAGGTACACGTCATAGAGTGGGAAGCTAGGCATATAGAAAGAAACTTTATTATTGATGAGTGTCGTGAAATAAGAAAGGAAATGGTGAAAACTGTGGTGAAATAAGTGTCGTGAAATAATAAAAGATAATGGTGAAAACTGTGTGAATGAGGGAATTCATTTGTGTAAGTGTGAGGGTTTAAAGTTGGTGGGGAAATGTATCGTATATGTAGGCGTTTCATGATTGTACGTCTGATAATGAGTAGATATCGTATGTGTGGGGATTACATTATTGTATATCTGGCAAAAATGTATCGTTTTTATAGGAATTTAATTGTTGTACGTCTAGAAAAAAATCATACATGTCAGGAATTTCATTATTGTACATCTGGCAAAGAACAAAAAAATATAGATCAAATAGGAATTTCGTACATACTCGACCTTCATTATAGTACACCAGGCAAACTAAAACAACGATATCGTACATGTAGGAATTAGTGTCGTTTCCGAAGGGGTCGTACGGTTCCAGCCTGGGTTCTGTCACGTTGCGAACCCGAGTGATGTCTTCCAGATTCACAACCAGGTCGTATTCTGTCAGCGTCGGCATTTCCAGACGCCTAGGATAAATTTTTAGATGGGAGTGTGTAAGATTAGATAGTACATAATTAACCAGAAGAAAAGGGAAGTACACAGATTAAGATATATAAATAAATATATCGAATTTCTTATTTGATTTGATCGAATTGAATGTTCTATTTAAGCTATCTTTATTAAATTTCTTATCGTATTTAATATTATTTCAACTATTTTTTTTTTTATCTCATCTAATTTGATTACATTTCTCATATGATCTAAACTTCTCATCTGATTATAAAATGTATTAAACACAAAAATAAACAATGCCTTATTTGAATAAATAAGGCATTGAGTAAAGAAAATATTTCAATAATAATGATAATAATAATAATGATAATAATAATGATAGAAATAATAATGATGGTGATGATGATGATGATGATGATAATAATGATAATGATAATAATAATAATAATAATAATAATAATAATAATAATAATAATGATAACAATAAAAGTAATAATAATAATAATAATAATAATAATAATTATAACAACAATAACAATAACTATTATAACAATACGAAACAAAAACCAATTCACACGACCACAAACGAAAATTTCCCAGACCTTATGAAGACGACGAGATTTGCCTCTGGATTCTGCACTGTGATCTCGACGTTGATGGAAGACCACTCGCGACTCACGTTGAAGGAGGAGCACAGCATACTCTCGTCCTCCACGCCGAGTTCGAGGTAGTGGTTGGGGTCCACGAAGGTCGGTTCTGGGGGGAGGGGGTGGGGGGAGAAAGGGAGAAAGGGAGAAAGGGAGGGAGGGGGGAAGGTTAATGGTTGGGGAGTTCTGCGATATTTTGGAAATTTTGTTTTTGATATTTGTATTTTTTTTTTCATTCTCTCTCTCTCTCTCTCTCTCTCTCTCTCTCTCTCTCTCTCTCTCTCTCTCTCTCTCTCTCTCTCTCTCTCTCTCCTCTCTCTCTCTCTCTCTCTTTCTCTCCTCTTTCTCTCTTCTCTCCTCTCCTCTCCTCTCTCTCTCCCTCCCTCCCTCCCTCCCTCCCTCTCTCTCTCTGTCTCTCTGTCTCTCTCTCTCGCTCTCTCGCTCTCTCGCTCTCTCTCTCTCTCTCTCTCTCTCTCTCTCTCTCTCTCTCTCTCTCTCTCTCTCTCTCTCTCTCCCTCCCTCCCTCCCCCCCACCTCTCTCTCTCTCTCTCTCTCTATCTATCTATCTATCTATCTCTCTTTCTCTTTCTCTCTTTCTCTCTTTCTCTCTCTCTCTCTCTCTCGTTCTCCCTCCCTCTTTTCCCCTCTCTTCCCCTCTCACCCGTTAACTTCGGTCCTTCCCTCTTCCTCCCTCCTCTCGGCACGTAGATTTTGATTTCGTGTTCGGGTTCCAGGTCCTCCACGGGTATGACTTCGATCTCGGTTTCGGATATTCGCTGAACGAGTCGAATCTGCATCGTCTTGGTGGTTCGACTCAGCTTCTCCTTGGCGCCGTCTCCGAAGGACTGAGAGGGGGGAGGAGGATGAGGAGGAGGGCGTTTAGAGGAATGTTCGTTATCGTCAATTGTTTCTTTTTTTTTTCTTTCTTTTTTTTAGTTAGTTGATTTGTATAATTTTTAGTATTATGGGTGGTGCACTTTATTATTATTATTATTATAATCTTTTAGTCTGTTTTTTTTTTCTTATTGTGGGTGTTACTTAAGTTGTTGATTTAGCATCCCCAAAAATCGATGATGTACGTGTTTACGGTTTTGCGCCGAATCAGTTTCTGCGATGCTTTGGGGGGATTTTGAAAAAAAAATTGCCTCCGAATCTTAATTTGCTTCGCACAATATTTAAATATGCATAAGAATTTTAATATATGCATCAGTAAACGAAGGCTACTGTTCAAAGCAAACGGAATCCTGAACACCCTTTGTTTTACCTAATTATAAAGAAGAGAAGAAAAAAAAAACTCAAGAAAAAAATATAAAAGGAGAGAAAAAACAACCTGATTTTTTTTTTTTTTTTAGAAAAAACAACTTCAACAAAAGAGACCACCCACCCCCACCCCTACCCCCACCCAATACCTGCACAATAACCGGCCAGGCCACGGCTTGGATTCCCACGGTATAATTCCCGGTCTCCGTCGACGAGCAGTTCCCCGTCTCCACCTTCTCCTCCTTCAGGATGTCGCAGATGTCAGGGAACTCGTAGACGCCTCCCCCCTGCCACAGCTGGTACCCCGCTAAATCCTTCGCTTCCATCCTGGTAGAGAAGAGGAGAGGGGGAGAAGAGGAGGTTAAATTGATGAAGAGGAGGAGAGAAGGGTTAAATTGATGAAGAGGAGGAGAGAAGGGTTAAATTGATGAAGAGGGGAAGGAGAGGAGAGGGGGAGAAGAAGAGTTAACTTGACGAAGAGGAGAAGGAGAGGAGAGGGGGAGAAGAAGTGTTAACTTGACGAAGAGGAGAAGGAGAGGAGAGGGAGAGAAGAAGAGTTAACTTGACGAAGAGGAGAGGGAGAGAAGAAGAGTTAATTTGTCGAAGAGGAGAAGGAGAGGAGAGGGGGAGAAGAGCTACCTTGTCGAAGAGGAGAAGGAAAGAAAGGTTGAACCAATGAGGAAGAGACGGAGAGAAAAAGGGGTAAATTGATGAAGAGAAAAGGAAGAGAAGGGGTAAATTGATGAAGAGAAAAGGAAGAGAAGGGGTAAATTGATGAAGAGGAGAAGAAGAGGAAAGGAAGAGAAAAGGTAAATTGATGAAGAGGAGAAGGAGAGGAGAGAAAAAGGGTTAATATGACGAAGAGGAAAGGAAGAGAAGGGGTAAATTGATGAAGAGGAGAAGGAGAGGAGAGAAAAAGGGTTAATATGACGAAGAGAAGAGGAGAGGAAAGGGAGAGAAGTAGTTAAACTGAGGAAGAAGAGGAGAGGAGAAGGGGTAAATTCATGAAGAGGAGAAGTAGAAATGTTAATTCAGTGAGGAAAAGAGAGAGAGAGAAGATTTCAATCGATCAGGAAAAGAGGGAGGAAAGGAGGAGTGAATAATGAAGAGGAGAGGAAGAGAAGATAGGAAAAATGGATAATATTCGTATAAAGATAACAGTTAATACAAATATGGAATGAATTTACAGTTCAACTGAACAGTCTACCGGACAGTGCAGCATAAAAAAACAATAATAACATAACATAAAACATAAAAAACAAAGAGTTAACATAGATACGGAATTAAATCTCATACCTAACACCTTAATTTAACACTCAACCGGGCAACGTTGCATATAATAATAATAATGATTAATAATAATGATAATAATGATAATAATAACAATAATAAATAAATAAACAAACAGATAAATAAATTAATAAACAAATAAAAACAAACAAAATAAATAAAACAGAACAAACAAACAATATAAATAAAACAAACAAACAAACAAATAAACAACAAACAAGCAACAATAAAACAAAAAACAAAACAAAACAAGCAACAAAAACAAATACAAACAAACAAAATAAATAAAACAAAGAACAAACAAACAATAATATAAAAAAAAACACACACACAAGGAAAAACCAGCGAGCCGCATCTCAGGTCACTCACATCACCATGGTCATCTCGAGCCCGTCCTCCGTGTTCACAAAAATGGGCTCTTCTCCGGGGAAGACCACCTGTAGGAGCTTCGTCTGCATTTGCTCCACGGCCGAGAGCGTCTTCTGCACCTGGGTCACGGCGCGGTATTTCTGAACCTGGAGCGGGGGTATCATTAGCGGTAATTATGGATTTGTTAATTAGGTTCGTTTGGTCTAGTAGGAATTATCTGCTGTAATTGTTAATGGAGTTATTGTGATTAGTGCTGTGGCGTATCGTAAGTTTTTTTTTTCTCATTTCGTTTCTTTCTTTTTTTCTTTTTTCATTTATTTATCTATTTTTTTATGCATATATTTTTTTTTCTTTTTTTTTAATTCTTTCTTGCTCTCTTCACTTTCTTTCATCCTTATTATCATTTTTTTGCCTTATTTTCTCTTGCTCTTTTCATTTTCTCTCATCCTTATTTATTTATTCATTTATTTATTTATTATTATTCTTTTTGGCTTATTTTTCCTTGTTCTTCTGCCTCTCCTTCACGCTCATTTTTCTTCTCTTTAATCCCTGTCTCCTTATTCCTCCACACTTCTTACCTTTAGCGCGAGTTTCTTCTTGTTCTGTATTTCTCTCTGTTCGTCGGTCAGTCCGTCGTCCAGGACCTCCTCCTCCACCACAGGGTCCTCCTCCAACGTAATCCCTAGCTCCTCGAGGGTGGCGTCGATGTTCTCGTACTCGGAATACTCGCCCTCGACAGACGCCTTCAGGTCCGTCGGCAAGATGTTGTCCTCGAGAACTTTGTCTGACGTGCCCTGGCGGGGGTCAAGAAGGGGGGGGAGAGGTAGTGTTTGGAAGTGTCGTGTCGGCGGGTAAAAGGGAAAAAAATCATCAAACATCACCATTACTATCATCACCATCAACGTCACCATCACCATCATGAGTACCATCATCATCACCATCCTCATCCTCATCACCATCATCATCACCATCATCACCATCTTTACCATCACCATCATCATCATCATAATAAAACGAAAGTATGATATTAGGGCTACAGAAGAGGATGCAGGCAGTTAGTAATATTCAAATTGAATAAGAAATCAAGAACAAAGTGACAGTACGCTAAAAATCCCTTCAAATACTCAGTAGGCATGGACTAGGAACAAACACTTCCCTGAAGAATTAAAATATCTTTTAACAAGAACCACCGCGGTATAAATGACAAGTAAGTAGACTTTGAAGTTGTATAATAATATAAATACACAGATTTCCCCACAATCAGCGATGTTCTTACCGCAGTCATAGAAGATATAGACTGCATACTGTTGCTCACAAACGCCTCAGGTTCCGCTGGATCGCTGATGGTCATGTTCAGCAGCACCTTTGTGAGGCAAGAACCTGTCACCTGTAAACATAAAAGTGATCCAAGGTAAGAATTTTCTTTGTTTTCACGTCTCCTCCTTCCCTCTTCTCTCTTTCTCTCTCTCTACATAAAAAAATAATAATTCACATCCCAAAATACAAAAAAACGCACCTTTTATATAGCCAGGTCCTCCATTCACACACACGGTTACCAAAACCACACCTGTCGCGCAACCAAATCTTTCATTCACAACCCCAAAAACACCACACCCATTAAACACCAAGCTGCTCCCACTCACACAGTCCCAAACACCAATACACCACACCTGTTGCGTAGCTAGATCTTTCCCCTTAATATCGACCGTCTTCCCATCCCCGACGATAGAAGACACGGTCGAGAAGAGTTGCGTGCAGTCCGAGAGGGTGTCCGTGTTGATCATCTCCAGCTGTGTCATCATGGAATTGATCTCCTGGGCGCTTTCGGTCAGTTCCTCGTTCAGCTTGGCCTCTTGCTCCGCCCTGATCCTCGCGAGTTCCTCAGGGTCCATCGTGGTTGTCTCGAAGAACTCGTCGGGGGCGTAGGTCGGTTCCGGGGTCGTTGTGGTCGTCTCCCACTGTTTGTTTTAAGAGGAGGCTGGTTAAGTCATGTTAAGTTAAGTTACGTTAAAGTTAAGTTAAGTTAGGATAAGTTTAAGGGGACGGAGCTTAGTTCCTTGGTTAGTTTGGTAATTGATGTATAGGGTTCGGGTTATATTAATGAACGCTAAGTGAGGGGTATATACACAGGTAAAATGCGAAAGCGGAAGAGAGTGAGTGAGAGTGAGAGTGAGAGTGAGAGAGAGAGAGAGAGAGAGAGAGAGAGAGAGAGAGAGAGAGAGAGAGAGAGAGAGAGAGAGAGAGAGAGAGAGAGAGAGAGAGAGAGAGAGAAGGGGGGAAGAGAGGGAGAGGAGAGAGAGTAGAGGGAGAGGAGAGAGAGAGCGAAAGAAAGGAGAGAGAGAGAGAGAGAGAGAGAGAGAAGAGAGAAGAGAGAGAGAGAGAGAGAGAGAGAGAGAGAGAGAGAGAGAGAGAGAGAGAGAGAGAGAGAGAGAGAGAGAGAGAGAGAGAGAATGGAGAGAAGAGAATAAAATAAAAAAAGAAGAGATCATAGAACAGAAAAACAGAGAAGAGTATAAAAGAGAGGAAATAGAACAAACTGAAATAGAAGATAAAGAAGAGCACAGAAGACAGAAAAAGGGAAGATCAAGACACACTCACAGGTTCATCCTCGAGCACGAAGCCCTTGATGGAGGTCCTGGCCTGGAGCAGCTGGTTGAGCCTGGCCTGATCCCCCTCTCCAGATGCCCTTAAGATCTCCTTCTTGTCTGTCCAAGCCTCGTACTCGAGTCTTGAAGGAAGTGAGGTCTAGAAGAGAGCGAGGGGAATTTAATGAGGGAAATTGGTCTATTTTCTACGGCAAAGTCTTGAAGAAATTTGAAGTTTGAGAGAGGAACCAAATTTGAGAGTAGGAAGCTGATCGCTTTTCGTCAGCAAAGCATTCAAGAATGTGGGGTCTGGAAGAGAGTAGGGTAAATTTATAGAGGGAAACTGATATCTTTTCATCAGCGAAGTCTTGAAGAAAGTGAAGTCTGGAAGAGAACGGGGAAAAAATTATAGAGGAAAACTGATCTTTTTTCGTCAGCAAAAATGCAAAAGAAACAAAAGTAATTATTATTTTATATATACACACATCCATCTAGATAAAAGAAACAATTGGATATTTTTGAACAGCAAACTGTAACTTTTTTTCCCTCTTTTACAATTATAATAATTTATATTTTTCACCTACAAAAAAACAAACAAACGAAATCTCCCTTTCACCCAGAGGAAGAAAGACATCTCCCTCCCTCAACCAATAACAACAAATAATAACAAACACATTTTTTGTTTAAAGACACGTACCGAGAATCCAGCAATAAAATAATTTCTGGCAGCTCCGAACTCATCCTCGATCGTTACCCAAAAAGTCCAGTTACCTAAAGGAAAGACAAATTTGTCCTTGTTGTCGATGCCAAACTTGAGGTTCTTGATGTAACCCCATTCGTTGTTCTTTACTGCAATAAGAGAAACGAGGAGATGGTTAGGAATAAAATAAAGCAGTGGAGGCAAGAGGGGGGCAGGAAAGTAGGATTGAGGAGAGAGTTAGGAAAGGAAGAGAGTAATGATAGGCAAGAGGAGATAGGAATGTAGGAATGAGGAGAGAGTTAGGAATGGAATAAATATTGAAGACATAAGAAGACAGATCAGAATAGAGTTAAAAGTGTACGAATGAAAAGATAGGGAAAGCATAAACAATGTAAGAATGTGGAAGTAGGAATAAAACAGACAATTGTAGGAATGAGAGGAAAGATCAGAATAAAATAAGCAGTGTAGGAATGCAAAAAGAGATAAAAATAAAATCAAAACTACTGGAATGAAAATATAGTTAGGAATATAATAAACTGAAATAAGGCAGTTAGGAAAGGAATAAAAATGAGAAGATAGTTGAGGAAAGATCGCTAGGAATAAAATAAAGTTTGTTGGAATGAGAAGATAGATAAGAGTAGACTAGACAGTGTAGATATGAGAAAACTAATCAGGATAGAAGAGTAAAAACAAGAAAATAGTTCAGGATAGAAAAGTAAAAATAGGAAAATAGTTCAGGATAGAAGTGCAAAAATAGGAAAATAGTTTGGGACAGAAGAGTAAAACAGAAAAAATAGTTCAGCATAGAAACGTAAAAATAGGGAAACAGTTCAGGATAGAAGAATAAAACAGGAAAATAGTTCAGGATAGAAGAGTAAAAGAGATAAATAGTTCGGGATAGAAGTGCAAAAATAGGAAAATAGTTCAGGATAGAAAATTAAAAATAGGAAAACTGATCAAGATAGATGAGTAAAATAGGAAAATAGTTTGGGACAATAGAGTAAAATAGGAAAATAGTTCAGGATAGAAGTGCAAAAATAGGAAAATATGTCATATCAACAACACCTGCAAAGGAATCTATATTTTTTCTTCCTCATCAAATACTTATCAAAATATAACACAAGGGAAATATAAGACGTGTGTCCCTTGTTTAACACTCACAAAAGAAGCTGTATTTGGCGATCTTGTCCTTCTGCTGGTCGTAAAAATCCTTACATTCGCAGTAGAAGTCCTCCGTGAGTGTTCGTCCGTGGCGGAGAAGAAAACCTGGGGGGGGGGGGGGGGGGTAGAGGAGGTGGTTAGTGTGGTTGTGGTTAATTGGAGACTTTATGAGGTGTGTTGGTGTCTCTTTTTTTGTTTTGATTTCCTTTCTGTCTTGTTTTATATTTAGTTTTTTTTCTCCCTTTTCTCTCATTCTCTCTATCTATGTTTCTGTCTGATTTTTTTGTCTATCAATATCTCAATCTTTTTATATCTTTCTTTCTAAAACTCTCTTTGTCTCTCTCTCTATCTTTAACTTTATCTTTATCACTCTCTGAATGTTATTATACTCATAATCTCCTTCCTCCTCCTCCTCCTCCTCCTCCTCATCATCATCATCATCATCATCATCATCATCATCATCATCATCATCATCATCATCATCATCATCATCATCATCATCATCACCCTCCCCCTTCCACTCCTCCTACCCCTTACTCCCACCCTCCCACTACCCCTCCTCCCTCCTCCCTCCTCCCCCTCACCTGTCTCCGGATCTATGGGCGTGGTCTCGTCGACGATGAGCACCCTGTTGGGCGGGGGCGTGAGCGTGCAGGTTCCTCCCTCGGGCGGCGTGTTGATCAGCAGGAACATGGTGCCGACGCCGACCTCGCTGTCCATCACTCTCACGACGTTCATCTTGATGTGGAACTCTAAGACGTCGGGGAAGTCTAGGAAAAGTTGTTTGATGATGACCATGTTGGGTTTCGTGTGCCCGATCATGTAGTCGACGTCGTTCTGAGGGGGAGAGAGAGAGGGGGGGGCGTCGTTTAGGTTGTTTGGGTTGCGTTGGGGTTAGGTATTGTTTGGTTCTCTCGGTCTCGCGGACTCTCTTTCTCTCTCTTTCTCTCTCTCTCTCTCTCTCTCTCTCTCTCTCTCTCTCTCTCTCTCTCTCTCTCTCTCTCTCTCTCTCTCTCTCTCTCTCTCTCTCTGTCTCTCTCTCTCTCTCTCTCTCTCTCTCCATCGCTCTCTTTTTTCTTTCTTTCTTGCCCCCCTCTCTCTTCCTCTCTCTCTCTCTCTCTCGCTCTCTCACACACCTTCCATTCCATCTTTTAACCTCTTCCTCCCCTTCCCTCCCCTTACCCCCACCTTACTTCCCTCCTCCCCCCTCCCCCTTCCCCTCCCCCTCTCACCTCGATCCTCTCCGGCACCCCTCCTCTCACTGCATATATCTTGAAGGAGAACAGGAGGTTCCCCCAACACAGGTCGGCGCAGGAACCCATCAGTGCCACTCTGCTGTTGGGGTTAATGATCGTGCCTCTGTCGGTGACGCGGCACATCTTCGGCACCTGGCACCTGTGGAAGGAGGCGTCGCTGGAGTTCAACGAGGTTTTTTTGGGGGGAAGGAACTTATTTGTGGGGTCGTGTGAGTGGTATTGTGATTGTTGTTCTGTGTGATGTTATTGGTAGTTCAACTTGTGAGACTTATACACAGAATAGAGTTACTTAGAATTAGACATACAATAGAATTGGTTAGAATTAGAAACAGAATATAACTGGTTAGAATTAGGAACAGAATAGAATTGGTTAGAATTAGAAATAGAATAGAATTAGTTAGAATTGGAAGTAGAATTGAATTCATTAGAATTAGAAAGAAAATAGAATTAGAAACAAAACAGAATTAGTTAGAACTAGAAATAGAGTAAGAATAAGAATTAAGGATTGTCTCAGAATAAGAATATGAAGGAGAGTTAGAATTAAAAATATGATTAGAATTAGAATAGGAATAAGAACGAAAATGTAATTAAGTATTCGAAATAGAAGTAGAATAAGAATAAGAAATGGGATAAGAATAACACAAATGACATTAAAATTAGAATTAGAATCAAGATTAAAATTACAAATAAAATATGAATTGAAATTAGAATATGAACTGCAACTGAACTCGGAATATTGAACTGAAATTACAATCAGAATCAGAAGTCAACCCTAAATCCCCAAAAAATATTAAGACCCAAAACTCAAAGCTCAAAACCCAAAAATCCAAAAAAAACTCAAAACCCCAAAACCCAAAAACTCAAAACCCCAAAACCTAAAAACTCAAAACCCAAAAATCCAAAAACTCAAAAACCCAAAAACTCAAAAAACCTAAAAACTCGAAACACTTCCTAAAAAAAAAAAAATAATAAAAAAAAAACAAAACTCAAACACTCAAAAAACCCAAACTCAAAAACCCCGAAACCCCAAAACTCACCCCCCCCCCCAAAAAAAAAAAAAAAAAAAACGAAACCCCGATCTCCCTCACTTGATCTCAACAAGGGGCGGCGACCCGGGAACCACGCCCACGTTCATGCAGCCTTCCGCCTTCCTCGGCTCCCTGTCCCACTGCCCCTCATTGCGCACCGCCGGGAACTCCTTGTACATGACGGCGCAGAAGCGGTACGTGCAGTTGGTGGCGCGCAGTTGCATGGTGTTGAGTTCCAGGAGGCCGCCCGTGATGTTGATGCGCCCTGGTGGTGGAAGGAGGGGAGAGGGTGATGGAGAAGATAAAGAAGAAGAAGAAGAAGAAAAAAGAAGATAGATAAGAAGAAGGAGAGGAAGAAGATAGATAAGAAGAAGGAGAGGAAGAAGAAAAAGAAGACAGAGAAGAAGTAGAAGAAGAGGAGGAAGAAAAAGAAGAAGATAAAGAAGAATGGAAGAAGAAAAAGAAGAAGTTAAAGAAGAATGGAAGAAGAGGAAGAAGAAAAAGGAGAAGAGGAGGAGGAAGACGAAGAAAAAGAAGACGACGACGAAGAAAAAGAAGAAGGAAGAGGAGGAAGAAAAAGAATAGGATAAAGAAGGAGAGGATAATGAAGAAGATAAATAAGAAGAAGACGAAGAAGAAAAAAAAGAAGTAGGAAAAATACAGATGTAGTTCTCATTATACAACTAATATTATCATTACCACCGTTATTAATATTCTTTATTAGTATGCTTGGTTATAGAATTATTTTCATTAGACAATTAATATTATCATTACCACTGCTAATAATGCTGATTATCATCATTAGTATCCCCTAATTCTCCCAATGCTGTCCTATCCTCTTAAAAATATTAACCTCTAGTACAGCCCTCGCTCTGAAAACTAGAAATTCAAGACCGACTCTTAAGTCTTTCTAAAATTTACCCTAAATTCCAATAATCTATACGGCCGCTAAGAGCAAGAGTTTGATGTCTTAATATTTCTTTAGCAGATCATCATAAATATTATTATAATTTAAAAGAGAACTATTATTGTTTTATTATTTTTAGCTGATCAACATAAATATTATTATCATTTTCATATTTTTAGTCGGATGATCATAACTAATAAAGGGAAATATCATTATTTATTATTTTATCATAAATAATAAAGGGAAATATCATTATTTATTATTTTCTAATTTTTTTGCAGATCATCATAATTATTATTATTACTTTACAGAGAAATATTATCTTTTATAATATCCCATTTTTAGTAGATCATCATAAATATCATCATCATTTTAAAGAAAACTGTTATAATTTATCATTTTCACATTTTAATAGATCGTCATAAACATCATGATTATTTTAAAGAGAACAATTATAATAAATCATTTTCATTTTTTTTTTTAATAGACCATAACAAATATCATGATCAATTTTAAAGAGAACGATCATCATTCTATCACCCCCCCCCCCCCCCCCCGCCGCCGTTTAGCAGAGCATCCTCCTCCTCCTCCTCCTCCTCCTCCTCCTCCTCCTCCTCCTCACCTGGACCCTCGCCGAAGCAGCCTCCGAAATCGGTCTTCTCAACCGGAACGGAGGTGTTGGTCGCGTTGTCGAAGTAGTACTCGTAGATGTCGTCGGGGGACATGATCGGGTTGGAGATCTGGTCGGTTATCGGGAAGTTCCGCTTGTCACGTGGGATCGTCTCGTTATCTGGGGCGATGCGGTAGCAGTACCACTCGAAGATGAAGGCCTGGGGGGGAGGGGGGAAGTGGAGGGGGGAAGGGGAGGGAAGGGGAGGAAGAGGGTAAAAGATGGAGTGGAAGGTGTGGGTGAGCGAGAGAGGGAGGGGGAGGGGGATGGGAGAGGGAGGAGGAAGGGGAAGGGGAAGGGAGAGGGAGGGAGAGAGGGAGGGGGAGAGGGAGAGAAGGGAAGGAGAAGGTGTCGTGATTATTATTATTATTTTTTTTTAGGGGGGGGGGGGGGATTTCGTGTGGGGTTTAAGGGAAATAAGAAAAAAAAAATGTATCGCAAAATATACAAACAAACCCCAACCACCTCACGTCAGACACCTCCTCGCGTACCCACCCACTCGCTTCCTACCAGTCCCTTCTAACCACTCGCCCCCCAACCACGCACCCCCTACCTCTCCAACCATTCATTTCCAACCAAACCCCTCCAAGCACTCGACCCCGACCACAATCACCACATGCCACACACACACCCGCCCACCTCCAACCACCCACCCACTCCCCACTCAATCCCCACCTACCATCCATCCCCAACCACACTTACCACACCCCTCCTCCCCCCTAACCCCTCTGACCTTACCCCAACCCACCCGTTTGACCTTACCCCCACCCCCTTTGCCCTTACCCCCCTTCTGACCTTACCCCTACCCCCCCTCTGACTTTACCCCCACCCCCTACCCCCTCTGACCTTACCCCCACCCCCCTCTGACTTTACCCCCACCCCTTACCCCCTCTGACCTTACCCCCACCCACCCTTTGAACTTACCCCCACCCCCTACCCCCTCTGACCTTACCCCCACCCCCTACCCCCTTCTGACCTTACCCCCACCCCCCTACCCCCTCTGACCTTATCCCCACCCCCCTACCCCCTTCTGACCTTACCCCCCAACCACGCCTACCTTATCACTGGGCCAATCAGGGTCGTAGGAGAATTCCCCGGGGTTGATGACGATGGTCTGGTTGAACCCTAAGGTGATCATGGACACGCCCCCTTTGTTCATCATGACGACCAGCGGCGACCTCGTGATCCTGACGAAGGTGTCGACGCTCCTGACGAAGGGCTGGGACACGTCGAGGGGGTCCGTTGGGTCACCTGGGGGAGGGGGGGAGGGGAGGGAGAAGGGGGCGGATGAAGTAGGTGGGGGTGGTTAGGGATGGGAGGGAGGGAGGGATGAGGGGGGAGAGGAGAGGAGGGAAGGAGAGGAGGGAGGGAAGGAGGGAGGGAAGGAGGAAGGAGGAAGAAAAGGAGGGAAGGATGAGGGAGGGGGGGAGGGAGAAGGGGGGTGAAGTAGGTGGGGGTGGTTAGGGATAGGAGGGAGGGAGGGAGGAAGGGGAGGGGGAAGAAAAGGAGGGAAGGATGAGGGGGGAAGGAGAGGAGGTAGAAGAAAGAGATGAAGGGAGGGAGAGAGGGAGAGAGGAAATGAAGGAGGAGATGGGAGAATGAGATGAGAGAGAGAGAGAGAGAGAGAGAGAGAGAGAGAGAGAGAGAGAGAGAGGGGGGGGGGCAATACTATAAACCAGAGATCAAGCCAAAAGTCCTCTTACCTGTGATGCGGACAGTGTAAGTAAACCTGTAAGTGCCATAGTTAAGTGTCAGAGGTGGCACTGTCAGGATAGACTTCGTCCTGCAGTCCCATCCATTCATGTCAACTTTATCCAACTCGTAACCCCATCTGAGGAAGCGAGGATTTCATAATCAGGCAAAATGAAGAAAATATTGATTTCTTGGATATTCTCACTTTTATCTATACAAGAAAAATTATCTTTGATTAATGTGTCC